TACCCGACTCGGGTGTTAGCGCCGCAGGCCTAGGTAGATGTATGCCAGGCGCGTCGCAGCGCAACAGTGTTTCGTGAGATATCGCGAAGCCTGTTGCGCGAGACGTGGTCTGGCGTACATCTACCTAGTTTAATGAAAACCGTTACCGAACAGCAGAAGTTTCATGTCCCTGATTTTAGAGTAAGCAGACCCCGACAAACGGTTCGAGTATGTCAAATTTTGGGCCCGGAAGACCCTGTGCCCCTATACCCTGGCCCTGTTCCCGAATACTCTCCCATTAAATCGTCTCGGGTGTCAGCGCCGCAAGCCTAGCTACATGTGCGCCAGGCGCGTCGCAGCGCAACAGTGTTTCGTGAGATATCGCGAAGCCTGTTACGCGAGACGTGGTCTGGCGTAGATATAGCTCGTTTAAAAAGTCAATTTTTGAGCTAGAATGCTTATCTTCGAACTCGATCTGTCTTTTTATGATACAAAACGACCCTGAAATTCCCAGATCGTATCATTGGCTGAGCGATTAGCGAAGCCCATTACTCCACTGACCAGAAAAGTTTCATTCTGTTAGTCTGTCTGTCCGCACGATTACTCGAGGAAAAGAGGGAGAGAGCGATCTGGGAATTTCAGGGTCGTTTTGTATCACAAAAAGACAGATTGAGTTCGAAGATGAGCATTCTAACGCAAAAATTGACTTTACAAAAAATCAAAAACCAAGGGTTGCAAAATATTGCTTTTATCAAATACATTTTTAGGGGTTCCTTAGGGGTAACCCGTGAAAGTAGAATTCCTTAGGTGAAAATTTCGTCCGTTCTGCTTTATCTTGTTTGGGTGCTAGGGGGCATCTCTGGACAAAAATGTGGTGAAATAGCGTTTAGTATTGGGTGCCCCAATTGGGGCAAATATCCACAATGGTACTTAAACCAAATATTACGAGTCGAACCGCACCCTATTTTGGGCTTAAGAGTCCCAAGATTATTTAGTGTCACTAAAACGTTGATTTTTACGTAACAATCTGTCAAAATTCGAAATTTCAATGAAAACCGTACCGAACAGCAGAAGTTTCATGTCCCTAATTTTAGAGTGAGACCCCGACAAATGGTTCGAGTATGTCAAATTTTGGGCCCGGAAGGCCCTGTTCCCCTATAACCTCTCCTTAACTCGTCTCAGGTGTCAGCGCCGCAAGCCTAGCTATATGTGTGCCCGGCGCGTCGCAGCGTAACAGTGTTTCTTGAGATATCGCGAAGCCTGTTACGCGAGACGTGGTCTGGCGTACATATAGCTAGTTTTACTTTGAATCCTATTTAGTATTACCATCAACATTTCATATAAAATTATTACTTCCTGCACTAATACTGTGGTGTCCCTTGTGATAGGCGAAAATTTTGTCCGCTTTGCTCTAGCTTAAACCGTTGAGGCGCTAGAGGGTATTTTTGACGAAAA